GGATCAACCGCATAAAAGAATGGACTTCAGTTTTTTTTTTCACTTTAGACAACTATGTAACCCCTTATGGACCGATATAACACGCCGGCCTTTAAAGATCCTAAACTAAAATGTAATGTCCCATTCATTAAATGCATGCAGGCTTAGGTAAAGCTACATATGTGAAATAAGCAGAGCATACTATACTAGGACAGGGTCTTAACTATTAATAATCAGTGCCTATTAGCTAACAATCGAGCAACACAGCTCTGATCTGCACTCAGTCATTGAAAGGTTTATCAGCAAATTGGGATCACATGGTCTATGCCCAAATAAGCAATTATTTGGGTTATAAACTAGTGAGTGAGCATCAATGTGCCACAATATGTATGTACATGATCGCCAATTAATTTCTAGAAAGTTGTGGGAAGACAGGGATTGGTTTAGATTAGGGATGTGCACTGGCAAAAAATCTGGTTCGGAAATTCGGGTAAGTAAAACATTTTGTATGCTTCGGCAATTCGGACAAATGGCGTTCGGTTCGGCACTTCAAGACTTCGTCAATCCGGACCCTAACCCTAACCCTAACCACTTGTTTTGCCACTTTTTTTTTAATCCTAAGCACTTTAGAACTTAGGCAATTCAAACTTCGGACACTCATAAGCATCCGAATTTCACGAAATTTGTCCGAATGTACATTTGGAACTAAATTAATTGCACATGTCTGGTTTAGACATCAGTAAGCTTACTGACTACACAATTAGTGTATATCCTGGATAAACTTGAAAGAGTGACATTCACAGCCACGTAACACGCATGTTCATTTTATTTTATATTTTCTAATATTCTATTATTAATGCATTATCTCCATGAGAAAGGAAAAGTACAGTAAAATGTACCCTGTATTACCTCTTGCTATGTTGCATGAAAATCTAAATCTTCAAGCAATTTGTGCATTGCAAGGAATTAACTAAGTTAAGCTTGTTTTTCTTCATTTGTTTCTGTAAGATTTATTTTTGTTTGTAAATACTGAACATTACTGCACAAGGTTCTCTGCATTAGCCGGACTGAATCTTAAGATAGACTGGGTGATTAGTAAGCAGTGATCCACATTATTTATGTTTTAAGTTAAATTCCAAATACCATCTGCATGATGTATAAAAATTGTGTATTTTGTAGGTACATTTTTTTTTCTTAGCAAAACAAAAATTTGGTGTCCATTTAGCTGCTTGCTGCAGTGCTTTACGTGTCTGAAGTTTTATCATATTTGTGACAGTTTATAAAAGTTTTATAATTAGAGGCAGAAACCCCTCCCTGTCTCTCAGATAAAAAAAAAGGTTTTCTTCCGCTTCTGATAACGCCACAAAGTAGCTAGCTCGCACCTGTCTTCCCATGTACTTGTGATGCTTTTGTGTAATGTCTCTTTAATTGGAACTCAACTGCAGAAACAATAAGTTTCACCTCCTTTATTTTATTGAAGTGAACAAGGTTGAATGTATCTTTAAATACACATGCAAGGAAAAAATGCAATGCTAGTTCCAACTTAATTAAGATGGAATGATTTATGAAAATTATGTTAATGAAGCTGGACAGTTTTGCAATTAGAATATTTGCAGGAAGAATTAGACTTAGTAGGAATCCCTTATTGACAAGAGAGAATTTTAGTGAAATTTAAATACTGAGTAAATTAATTAATATGAATTGGTTTCCTTGGCAAAAAGGTTTACTTAACTTAGAGGCAGTTCTGGCAATGAAAGGGTTAATTCACCCAATGGAGGAGAAATTAGGAGTCTCTATGAATAAGCTGAGCGTTAGGAGTGGAGAGTGAGGAAGTCCGTTTTTACAAGCCGAGGTCTGGGAGAGGAGAAGGTAGAAGTCAGTTTTTACTAGCCGAGGTCTGGGAGTGGAGAAGGTAAAAGTCCGTTTACAAGCCGAGGTCGAGAAGTGGAGATGGTAGAAATCTGTTTACAAGCCGAGGACGGGAGAGGAGTGGAGCCGGTAGCATCCAGTAGAGCAGCTGATCTCAATGCAGCACCTGCGTGAATAATCCAGCCCTTTGAATCTGGCGCGGTCTTCCTAAGTATCGTGGAAGGACCGCGTCAGAGAAAGGGGCGGGGCTAAGCGCCGTGAACCCGGAAGTGGGTTCCGGCGGCAGCATGTATGATAGAGTATACCTGACAGTACTACAGCTCACTGGGACACATAGGAAAGCTCCAATCTCGTACACTTGCGGCTATAGCACAGAAGTTTAGCAACAAGAAACCTCTGGCAGGTTTATTTCACAGCTCAGACTGAAAGTCTGTTGAGGAGAGAGGGGAGGGCTTACAAAGGCTTCTGCAAGCTGTTTTTCAGGCAAAGAAACATGCATGTTATCTTTGGGGGGTATGTCAACTTGTTTTACAACAGTCCGGCACTAAATAATTTTAACAATGCTGTTCCTATTTCAGCAATTTATTTAACCTCTGGTTTTGTTTTTGTTTAAATTTGTAATTTTTTGTGCCCTGTTTACTTTGCAGGTTGCAACACACCTCTAGTGGCTATCTAAATATTGACAAGTAAAACTCTTGTCACGTGTCAGCTGATAGCAAAGCCCTGAATTCAATGCTTTCCTGGGAGAAGCACTGGATACAAATGAGGGCCCTGATGCTTCTCTGTTAGGAGAATTAAATCTTCACTGGAGGAAGCCATGCTTTTCGATGACAAGTAGAGAGAAGAGCAGCACTGAGGGAGTCTCGGCACTGTTAAAAATGGGATTAACAAGTCACTCTGCCATTGCATCAAGCATTTTTGGAATCTCTGGCTTTTATTAATGACGAGTACAATATCAGGGCTTGAAATTTTAAGTCCTTCACTACTAGCCAGGCAGCAAAAGTTATTTGCAACTGACAAGTCCATGGCATAGTCACCAGGGTGATTTTCTAGCCACCAAAGGTTAGAGGTGAGAGGAATTTTCAGGCCTGATATGAATACTGCTGTATCTCAGATCACAGCTGTAACAGTGATACACCAGTGTGTGTATTTTAATGTGAATCAACAGAAGTGTGACAGTGTTGATATCACTGTATACAATGAATCATTCATTTCCATTCGTATGACCTGAAGTGCAATTATAGTCTGCAAACACTGACTGAATGGGACTTGCAGGAAGCAGAGAGGCAAGCCAATAATGCAAACGTCCATTATATCAGTTTATTGTACATTAAACCTCCACCCAATTAAACCTCCGGAGTATTTAAACACCAATAACGTGTGATGGCGGTGTGAAAACAAAAATGTTCTCAAGGGAAATTCTACTAATAAAACTCCCATACAGTCATTTTGTCAACAAGCCATTGGGGTTATTTACTAAACGACAGTTCAAATTGCAGAATTGGTGCTAAAATAACCAAGCTGTTACTATACCAAATTTGTAGATTTTAACCAGGCAGCATGCTTTAGTGGTTATGATGCCAGAGTACTCTGGCCCGGTTTCCTGGTTGATAAATGGTTTGCGTCCTTGCCTGGGTCCCCATCAGTTGCAGATGCCAGCGTTGTGCTTCGAGCTTCTGGATAGCGTCAGAAGTCACCATTCATTGGCTGAGAGTGCCAGCTGACCACTCTCTGCCAATGACTGACATTCTGTACATCGAAACTGGCACAGAATTGATGTTAACCAGTCCAGAACTCTAGTTCTGAGCTGGCCGATAACGCCTCAATGACGCTGCTGTAAGTGCAGAGTTTCGAAGCGAAAAGCTGCACATATAAGACTTCAGGCACCAATACCACTTTAAATCACTGAAGTGGTCATGGTACTTCGATTAACCCTTTAAGTTTACAATTTGGTTTATAGTGAATAACCCGGTTACTCCTGTGGATTGACACAGACACTCTCACAATGACTCTTGCCCTTGCGGATTTAATGTGTTTTTTTTTTGTTTTTAATGAATTATCTACAAGTTGCACACAAAAAAAATCATATTCTAGAAATGTGGCTTACCTACAGACTGGAATGTCCTTTTAACACCTAGTTGATCAACTGGTGGCACTCTTGCATTTGATCGACTGTCAGCCTCCAGCAAAACAGAACATTTTAACCCATTTAAACATTAAGATTTGACATATCGGAGAAGCACCCAAGAAAAAAAAATCAGAATACTCTAGGTAGGACAATCAGCAGGTATGTAAACATGAATGGAGAGAATCGATCTGGCCAGGGAAGATCAACCCCTCTTTAAACCACAGTGATTTAGTTGGCTCCCTCTACGCAAGAACATGAATATAGTGGAATTTACTTATAGGGCCTCCGCAGAGGAGCAGTCCGTCTTACCATATGTTTAACCCACCTATATGGGTTTTATACCTTAAATCTCAGCTTTCTGGATTGCGGACCCAGGGCAGCCTGTTGCTCATTGTATAAAGTAGATGTTACTGGTGGGTGCTAGGGCAACACAAAGCCTGAAGTGCCACTGCCCCCTAGTGTATATTTACTGCATGACACTTAAATAACCAACAGGAGATAAATGTGAGTTTTTTTTTTTTATTAAGAGATCTGTGCCCTTTCCCAAGTCACTTACAGAATACATATGTTTGTATAGGAAATCTGTATGACAATGTGAGCAGCCACTACTGGACATAATGTTTTCGTGACATGTCCTTTTTTAACACTTTGCTCTCCAGGAGCAAACTTAGAGTAAAATGAAAATGTTGTCCGTTTAATATCTAGGTATAGAACAGCTGCACTTGGGAAAACAGAAAACAAGCACCAAAAAAAAGTTTGGAGAGTTTAAATAAACAATTGACAAATAGCAGAGATGATTTATCAAAACCTTATGATGAAGGTTCAAAATCTATTTAATTTAAAGTTAACCGTTCTTCTCTGTGTATTCTAAAAGTTTTCTTTGTGTGCATATTCTGTTAATTGCCTGCATTTCTCCCTATGATAGATAAAAAAAAAAAAAAAAGCGGTATAATAAAATTCTATACTGTTGTAAGCTATTCTAAGATGCTTATAAAGATTTACATATTAAAAGGAATTTGCCAGACAAAAAGCAGCACAAAGGAGGGGGGAAAAAAAAATAAACAGAAAAGTAGCAAAAGTAATAAGTCATAAAAAACTAAACTGTTGAAATGCATAATTCATGCCAGAAAAAAAAATGGCGCTAACTGGTAAAACTTGTCACTACCTCAGTCTATACATAAAAGTTAAAATAAAACCGTGGTTATGACATATTGACAATAAATCACATGTTTGGTATAGATATCACATAAGCACTGCTTTATTGCATGTCTGTTGTATACGAGCACATAGAATTCTAAAAATCTAAATATTTTTCATATTTACACCTATGATTGCATACAATGTGTAACCGCATGTTTGAGTAGCTATTACTTGCAACTGACCTACAGCAGCTCTGTACGTAAAGCACTGAAAGTTATAAACCGTCAAGTATGGATCGTGAAAAATGCTTACTCCTAGAATTCGGATCAAGAAATGGGTCATGAAAATTGTAATTATACACATTCGATCATGATGTAATCATAAACCAAACAATCGCAATCAATTTATATTTTATTATGTACTTACATTTTATTTTAATAATTACAATGTCTAAATGCAAAGAAACATTAAAAAACAAAACCGAAATAAGGCAACGTTAAATAAAACCTACACTAAACCTCACAGTTCTATTGAATTTGGCACCACACAACCAGGGGCGTGTGATTACTGCAATAAACAGGACCGAGGGAAAAAAACAAAACAAAGTGTCTGTTTTAGTGGTTATGGGTAAAATGTCAGCACACAATCGCTGTACGTCAGTAGAACATATGATAAAAGGCCATTAAATTCCTGTATAGGGATATATATATATATATTTATACATATTTAATAATATTGGTCCACAGATTATTTATAATAATGAAGAAAAAAAATCTATATCTGGCAAAATATTAGTATACATTTAAATAGCATTTATTGTTGGGATTGGGGGTGAGCGGGATAAAAATACAAATCACACTCATCCATATATGGGTACAGAGTATCAAAAAAAAAAAAAAAAAAAAGAGAAAAATATTCTGTAACATGAAAAAAAACCTACGACCCCAGAACTTTACACTCAAACAATTGTTCCGTATTTACAAACACAAAACAATTCAGGGAACACATATTGGGTAAAATGTTAATGAGAAAGCATACACAGGTTCATAATGCATTGTCATTTAGACTCAAAATACATTTTGCTCAGCCTGACTGAATACTGATATATGTACATATTCTATGTATACAATGTTCTACTCAAAATACTCCAAACAGATTAAATAACAATTTATTACAGAAAAAAAGAAAATCACCAAAATAAAATGACAGTGGCTTAAGTTAATGACTTGATTGTATCGATAAAGGGGTCTGGACTGTAGATGTAGAACACAAGTCACTATCGTAAAAGCTTCTTCACTTCATGACGTGTAAAACCACAATTTATCGCAATAGTGGTGGTTCCTTACTTACTATTCTGAAGGATTAAGTTGGTAATTGTCATAACTGACAGAAGGGTCACCAAATTGCCCCCAAGGCTTTCAATGTAGGAGATCTCCCTGCTTCAGGGTAATGTGCAATTTCAATATGAGAGTTTGAAAAGAGTGGCTCTGCAATGGGCTCCAAATGCTACAGAGGTTTCAAATGTCATAATGTCGTCTGAGAAAAATGTAGTGGTGCTGTTTTAATGTGCACAGCAAGTGGTGCTTCAGGATTATTATTCACACGTCACAGTAATGCTGTAGAATAGACAGCTACAGTCAGAGGAACTTCCCGAAAGCAAGGAAGTTAAAAAGTTGCAATCTAAAGTATGTCTAATAAGTTAACCCCATTCTTCCAAAAAGCTTAAGTTAAAACAAAGAAGATTGAAAAACACCTTTATCTGCAGTTTTTTCGGTGTGAGGCTACCTTGTTTAACAATATTATGTTAATAGTCCAGTTACGAAAACCCTTCTGCAGTAAAGTCATCGGCCAGCCATTATGGAAAATCTAGACTACAACAAGTGAAATGTTAGCAATCACTGTCAAACAGCCTCGGATCCATTCACTTCTGCCATAATCCCATGACAAAACAACGTCAGTGTTTCCCCTTATGTAAGGATTAACACAAATGTCACAATTAGGATACCTTTAAGACAAGTTAATTCCTAATAAACCAGGTGTCCATTATAATTAATGAACACTAGTATTTGGTTAAATGCAAAGACCTAAAAGTAAAAAAACAAATGAGTGAATGCGGTGAAAATGTCTAAAAGTAGAGCAATGACAAAGGGAAACAATGGAGTGTGCTAGTTGTTTTTTCCACTTTTAGAATTTTGACCAGATTGGTTTAACAGGTTATACAAGAGGAGGCCAATGACAGTCATAATTGCTCATTTCTCCACAAGGAGTTAATTTCTGAAATAATAATGCCAGGGACGGACCCTTTTTAACCCCTTAATGACACAACTTCTGGAATAAAAGGGAATCATGACAGGTGTCCTTAAGGGATTAAAACAATCTTCTACTAATCAAAAATGGGAATTGCCTGGTATCTGGAATTAAACTAAGCTGAATCCATTTATAGCTCTGAGCCTGTTGAGTTCCATTAAACTTTTCTGGTAGGCAGCATGAATCAAACTAACATAGTACTAATTAACAGCAACGACATTGGTTCCAGAATTCCACTATAAGTCCATGTTGATTCAACTTATTGAGGACAGTAATGCTGTTACACAAATATTTAATTGTATGAATTGTGCTGTGCTTTGATTGGCTTCCCCAATTAGAGTCACAAGATTCAGTAGCCAGATGCAAAGACATTCATATGTTGAGTTTTCACATCTGGCTTGGCTTCTACTGTATGACACCTACCTATTTGATTTGGTAAAAAGAATGATCTTGAGATTTTCTGAACAAAGAGAGTGGAAGATTTTTTTTTGTGTTATTAAACCAAAATTGGGTGGTGGATTGTGTAAAACTGGGGTTTTCAAATGCTAGATGTTCAGTGATTGTAAAACCTCAAATTCAGATCTACCTTTTGGATACACATGCGACAAAATTTTTTACAATGACCAACATGAAGGTTATAAATTAAGCGGTCGGATATGCGCCATATAAAACAAGGTACACATACTTATAAATCAGAATACATAAGAGCATAATAGTAGTTTATATACATATAATGCATATATCCGATTATATTGGTGGTTAAGACCTCTAGTTATCAAACTTTGGATGAAAAATAAAAACTATCAAACCAAAAAAAAAATTCTGCTTATTAAGATTTTAAACCTCCCCCACAACCCCAAAATGTTGTGATATTTAAGAAGCAAGTATGGTATTAGCAGCTGGCTGAGTGTGCACACTGAGTGGACACTTTTGGCTCATGGTCCAGAGTCTGAAGGAATAAGACATCTCAGCCTAGATTAAAAGAAAATTATTTGTGATTTTTGTTCATGCTTGCAGCGTCACTTAGTTTCAGAGTCTCCAATCAGAAGTTTTGGCACCAACAAAAACTAAAAGTACTAATAAAATGCCTGAGATACTACAGTGACTGTAAGCTTGTAACAAAGTTGTAACATATCGCAGAAGCATCATCGACTTTCGAGTATGCAGGTCAATGGGAAAAAACAAGGCACAAGTTCCCAGAGAAGAGACAGGACAAAACAAGGTGGGGAATAAAGGATGAGTAATAATTCTAAGCAGCATCAGTGAAACATGCACTGCGCCTCTGGACACCAAGAGTGAAAGACGTTTTATAACCAGCGCGCCCAGTTCAGAATATTATCTTTCCTTTACTGCATTGCTTGAACCAGTAAAATATCCCAATATCTCCTCCAGCATAATTTCACGTGTGAGAGCAACACAGAGGAGCGAGCTGAACCCTCTGGCAACAGTTAAAGAATTAGGCTTAAAAAGAAACCATTATAAAAATAGATTTTATATGCTGTAGCACTTATTACTATGGGCTACTTTGTGAAGTTGTAATGGTCGTATCCTTTAAGTTAAACAATGTTAGGGTTTTATTCCTCCTTTAACCTCAGCCTATAATCCGTGAGCACAGGTCAGTGTCTTAATCTAGGCAGGTATATCAGACTATTGCCAGTGATTCAAGCAGTTAGACTGACAGACTGCTGACTGTAGAATACTCAGGGAACCCAGCAGCTCACACTAGACAAAGGGAAATTAAATCAGGACCAATAACCCTTTATACTTGAAATCTGTTAACATATGCTACAGCTTAGCAAAAGTAAACATTTTTTTTATCATGGTTTCTTTTTAAGAATAACAGCGTATTACTGCTAAATCATCTCTGTAAAGCAAAGATATTATAAGGACACATAACTGCATTTCTATTTAAAACACACAGCCATTGATTACTCAGTGCAAAACACAGGTGATGGCTTCGGAAGCACCAACGGTGTACAAAATATCAAATATCACTCCTCTGCCACATTCACAGCACAGTAGGACTTGTTACCGGTTTACTGACAAAGAGACCATGATATTATATTTGCCCTCTCTAGTAAGGCAAGGGTTAAAAGGGCATTTAAATACTTTTAAGTACAGGAAGACTTAACCACCTTAAATGTTTCCCCCCCAACCCAGAAACGGACAATTTAGTTATGACACCAGACTTCCTGCAGCCTTTGGTATCTCATGCTTCGGAAATTTCAGACTTGCTGAGCGCTATTGCAAGCTCAATATCTTCCTGTTCCTGCTGCTTCAGCCTCGACAGTCTCTGCTCCTCTTCTCTCTCACTTTCCCTCTTCGCCCATTCGATCATATCATCCTCCGACTGGTACTGCAGATTTCAAGAAAGACATTCACTAGCTGAGAGAAATCTTAGAAACGTATAAAAACATTAAATCAATAAAGTAAAGAATACAAAACAAAAGTTATTCAAGAATTTTTAGTGTACATGGGAAGTCCTACCTTGCTGGCAAATGGATAAATGTGAAAACTGAAAAAGTGGCACTCACAGTCCTTCTACAGCCTTCAAGATTAACATGTGATCTTATAAACGGATTGTTAATATTATAGGTGAGCGCAAGCACATAGATTGCCCCAACAATCAACAAATAAAACATAAAAGGAAAAAAATAAAATAATAGGTTAAAGGGTAAAAGACAAGCATATTAAAACAAATAAATTATATGTATCTATGTGTCTGCTGAATACATACACACACACACTGTCTGCTGAATACATACACACACAGTGTCTGCTGAATACATACACACACACAGTGTCTGCTGAATACATACACACACACACAGTGTCTGCTGAATACACACACACACACAGTGTCTGCTGAATACATACACACACACAGTGTCTGCTGAGTACATACACACACACACAGTGTCTGCTGAATACATACACACACACAGTGTCTGCTGAATACATACACACACACACACAGTGTCTGCTGAATACATACACACACACAGTGTCTGCTGAATACATACACA